CAAGCCACCCACCTTGGCCTCCCAAAATGCTACGATTACAGGTGTGAGCCACCACACCTGGCCCTCTCTCTCATTCTCAATGTTGTTAATCTTTGTCTTTTCTCTTTATCAGCTCGGCTAGAGGTTTATCAATTTTATAGTCTCAAAGAATCAGCTTTTAGTTTCATTGATTTTTCTCTTTTCTGTTACATTGATTTCTTCTGTTATTTTTTTCTTCTTCTTATTTTGAGTTTAATTTGTTCTTTTTCTAATTTTTTAAAGTGAAATCTAAGGTCATTGAATCGAAGCCTTCTTTTCTAACACAGGCATTTGGTGCTTACATGTCCTCCTCAGCACTGCAGATTTTTATATGTTGTATTTTCATTTTTATTAATTTCAAAATGCTTTCTAATTTCTTTTAAATTTTTTCTTTGACCTGTGATGTGTTAGTTTGCAAATACTTAGGATTTTCAGATATCTTTGTTATTGATTTCTAGTTTAATTTCAGTTTTGTCAGAGAACATACTTTATATGACTTGACTTGTGTCCTTTTAAATTTGAGACTGGTTTTATGGCCCAGAAGATGTTCTGTCTTGGTAAATGTTCTGTGCATGTTTTCAAAATAAGAATGTGAATCACATGTATTCAGCTGTTGTTTATGGAGTGTTCCATGAATGTCATTTTGGTCAAGTTGGGTGGTAGTGGTCGAGTCTTCTCTGTTCTTATTTTCTGTCTACTTGTTCTAACAGTTACTAAGGGCAGGGTGTGAAAATTCGTAGTTATAATTGTAGATTTGTCCATTTCTTCTTAGGCTTTTATTATTTTATATTTTATTATTATTTTATTTTTATACCTTGTGATGTTGGGATCTGAGGTCTCAGTATAGACTCATGATTGTTGAAATGTAAACGCGTATGGAAATATCGAGGTGTGAGTGAATACCTGTGCACACTGTTTGCGTCAAGTATGAAGCTCTGCTAGCAGGTGCATGAATGTTTAGGACTGTGTGTCCACTTGGCGAACCAACCCCGCTATCACTATGAAGTGGTCTTCTGTATTGCTGGTAATGTTCTTTCTTTAAAATTTACTTCAATATAAATATAACCATTACCGCTTCCTTTTGATTAGTTATATGATATACATTTGTCCATCTTTTAATCTGTTTGTGTATTTGAAACATAACTTGAGATAGATTCCTTGTGAGCAGCACATAGTTGGGTGTATTGTGTTTGGGGAAGAGTGATTGTACCTTGTAAAACACATAGCCTCCTCTCTCCAAGTGCTTTTTAGTCCTCCTCACAAGATTCCTCTTTATACTCTGGGAAAGTGGGATTTTGCTTTTTTATCCAGTCTGACAACCCCTGCCCTTTAAATGGGGTGTTCAGACAGTTTGATATGCTCACTGATATAGTTGGGTTTAGCTGTCCCTGATTCTGTAACTTAGATGCTTTAATTCTTCCTTTTATTGTTCCATCAAACTGTTTTCACCTTTTTAAAAGGTAAATTTCTAAGTTTACTGGATGTTTATTAGGACTATTAGATAGATAGATAGGTAGATAGATAGATTTTTAAACTGTGTCATGTTTTTCTTGAGTTATTAATTTTTGTAATACCTTGGTGATGAAATAGCATAGTTTTGAATAGTCTACTGCAACTTTTCTGTTTTTTTAGATAACCCCTTGTGTTTTTCGTATACAGTTTTGCAAGAGCATGAGGTTCTTCCAGAACGTTTCTATTATAGTGGAAACGCCTGTGTTCTGTTGAATCCGCAGTTGGGAGAAGAATCCGTCTCTAGCTGTCAGTGCGATGTTAGGTGAAACCTTGCTAGACACTGGACATTTGGCTGGGAACTGTGCATGTCAGCTTGCCAGAACAGTAGCTTTGAGGAGCATAATTGACCAGTGTTAAAGTGAACACAGAACAGAGTAGGAGTGAGCACACATAGGCTCTTGGCAATCCTCAGGTCTGGACTAGAGCTTATTCTTATTTGAGGATAAATAAACAGAAATAAACCTCACCTTTAGACCTGTCAAAAAAAAAAAAAAAAAAAAGGTATCCCAGAATGTGTGGGAGAGGGAAATATTCTGAAGTGCAGAAGAATATGCCTCTGAAAATGAAATTAAATCAGGAAAAAATATTTTCAAAAGACTTTGGCTAAAAGAAGACCTGGCTTAACAGAGAGGCAGAAGGTGATGCATGAGGAGGGACTAGGCTGAGTGAGAAGATGATGGGATGAGTTCAAAGGGAAGTGGTTGAGAACAAAGAGTTCATGGCTTAGTTAAAATCTGTATTTGAAACCATAAGTAGTAAAATGGATATTGTGGAAAATAGCAGCAGTGAAGTGAAGGACATACTTGAGAGGCTGCCTGGGAATGCAGAATAAACAACAGATGTGTCACCGGTGAAAGAGGCCAGATCTGATGGGGAGACTTCAGCCAAATAGCATAGGAACTCTGAAGAAGCCAGAACAAGTTTAACAGAAATAATAATCAATGATGTAATTGAAGAGCATTTTCCTGAGCAGAAAGAAGACCTATATTTGTTGAAAGAGTCATGTTTTGAACAAAATAAAAGACTCTTACTTATGTATCTTCTGACAACATTTTTGAATTTTAAGATTCAAGAAAAAAATGCTAGTAGATTCTAGGTGGAAGGAAATGGCAACAATCACAACATCAAGACTCGGCCCCCAAAGTTTTACCTGGAAAGAAGCTGTGGTTGAGCTGGACTTAAACTTCTCTACAATGTTGAGGGGGGAATGACATCCAAAGATTTCGAGGGGGACATATTTCTGATATAAGATTTTTATACCCAGCCAAGGTGTTTTTTGTGTGAAGGATACTGTTATCTGAGATTTGTGAGGATTTGCAAAATATGCCATCTACATTCCCTTAAAGAAAATGTCTCTTTCTGACCAAGAGATGAATAAACATTCTGACCCTGAAGACAAATAAGTCATTGTTGTTCCTAAGGAGATAACCAGATACAGAACAACAGTCATGAAGATATTAATCAGAGTTGTAGATACAATGAACATAAAATTGGAAAGCATCTAGATAGCCAGCCTTGGGAGCTGGGGTGATTCTTTATATGATGAATTGGTTAGAGTTCTTTGGTTATAAGCAATTAGTTGGCAAAAAAAAAAATGTTCTAGACTAATTAAGAAAAGGAATTTGTCACTTTTTTAAAGAAAGATGAACACAGAAGCACTTGAGCTGGGATCAGCCAGGGACTCTCGGTGGTGGGAGTTCTGAGACTTGTCTCTTTTGGGTTCATCTAGTGACTGATCTATTGAAGGGGTAGGCCTTGGAAAGGGAGCTGGACGAGCTCAGCTGGTACCACATGCCACTCTTTGGCCTGACACTTCCTTGGGAGCATCAGGCTCATCCGAAGCTCCTGAAGTGGGACGGGGCAGCTGTCTATCACACATGGGATAGGAAACAGCCCTTCAGAGTGAAACTTACCAGGTATTGTTAATGCCATTGGAAAACGCCTGGCTTTAATATCAGCCCAGAGAACATGGCAGACAACCGTATCACTAGAGGTTCGTATGGGCAAAAGGCAAAGAAAAACAACGGCAAGGAAGCACGTCAGAATGTTACCGAGGGCTTGTCTCTGTGTGATGGCATCATGAATGGCTTTTTAAATACTTGCCTGTGATGAGCATGTATTGTTTTTATAATCAGAAAATGAAAAAGAAAACGGTCATTACGAAGACAGAAGCATGAGGGAACTATTTTAGGTTATCATGTTACGTGAGGAAAGCGGACTTTAGAATTAAATTCTGTGATTACACAGACATTGTGAATATGAATGTCTATGGATCGAGGCTGATGCAAGCGTGCAGTAATGACATTCTGTGGTGGGAATGTGCTGAAAGTGAGTTTTCTTTTAAAACATTTTATTTCATATTTATTTCATAAGCTAATATAACTTAGAATAAATTTATATTAGTTGGAAGATACTCTGCTTCCTCTCAAAAGCCTAATGTTGGGGAAACTTCTGGAATGAGTAAGGAAGCTGTCTCTAGATCAGAGATTTTGAACCAGGGGATGATATTGTCCCCAAGAGGACCTTTGGCACTCCCTGGGGACATTTTTGGTTGTCATGACTTGGAAGATGCTACTGGCATCTGGTGTGTGGAGGCCCAGGATCCTGCTAAATGTTTTATAACGTGTATGGCAGCCCTAAACCCCAACAACTAAATACGCAAACCAAAATCCCAGTGGTGCCGAGGCTGAGAAACCCGACTCTCCGGAGACGTTTTTACACGTCTGTGATTTACTAACAAAAATCCCAACTGCTCGTATTTGTAGAAATGATTCCATATGAACTGTTCTATCAGTCCTTGGTCAGAACAAGGATAAAGAAGGAAGCTGGTGGGGCACGGTGGCTCATGCCTGTAATCCCAGCACTTTGGGAGGCCGAGGTGGGTGGATCACTTGAGGTCAGGAGTTCAAGACCAGCCTGGCCAACATGGTGAAACCCCGTTTCCACTAAAAATACAAAAATTAGCTATGCCTGGTGGCATGCACCTGTGATCGCAGCTACTCGGGAGGCTGGGGCAGGAGAATTGCTTGAACCCAGTGTTGTGGGGGTGGTGGAGGTTGCAGTGAGCCCAGATCGTGCCACTGCACTGCCGCCTGGGCGACAGAGCAAGATTCCGTCTCAAAAAAAAAAAAAAAAGGAAGTCATCTTTTCCCTAGTTGGATGTTATTTTCCAGATCGGAACTTCCATGTTGTAACTCCAGTCTCTTTTCTCCGAACCTTGCAGGTTCATCTGCAGAAGCCAGCAGACGCCTCTGCTCTCCCTGTGGGTTACCTGGCTCATGAGACCTTGCCGGCGAGGCTCTGCGCTTGAACGTCTGTGACCCAGCCCTGACTGTCCCGGTACTTGTATGTGTTGGTGGGAGTTCGGAGCTCGCTGGAGCTGTCGTTTCTGTGGAAATTTTGAGCCATTTCGAATCACTTAAAGGAGTGGACGTTGCCAGCAATGAGCTCCCAAAGCCATCCAGGTAAGGCCTGGTCCTTTCTTCTCTGGGCACACAGCGGGGCTTTCTTTTCCCAAAGTAGACTTTCTTGTGGCTGCAGCTTGCTTTCTGAATTCGAGACTTTTGTTTTTCTTGATAGTGGTCACTGTTGGTTTTTGACAGCACACAGTGCAGAATGGATGGTTTGTTCTTCCTCTTGGTGAAAGAAGAATGATAAAACCTGGGAGGATCTGGAGTCAAGTCTGCGGCCCTGGTTTGCAGGCTGACTTGAGTGGCACACAGGTTTTGTCGCTGGCAGGAGAGAAGTGCTTTTTGACGAGGGTGATGTTTAAAGGTTAGGTTGTGATGTGGAGAGCTGGTTTCTTGCCCAGTGTCTTTGTTGTTTTATGAGGGGTTGTGTGAGGGGTGGGAGTGCTCCTCCGACCGCGCGTCTGGGCTGCCTGGGAAGAAGCTCACGTTCCCATTCAGGTGGTGGCCATGGTTGCTCCTGGTGTTTGAGTGCCTCTGTGAGAGGCTGCGCTCAGCATTTTACATATAATTCTATATGCATTTAGTATAGCCCCAGATCATCTCAGGCCTGGAGGGAAGAAGTAACTTACCTGAGGTCACAGAGCTGGCAGGTGGGGGACCCACAGGATTGGGAGGCAAGCCTGTCCTGCTCTGAGCTTCAGAAGCATGTCATGGGCTCATGTATTTACGACTTCACACCGTCCATCCTCGGAAAGTCACCGAAGCACGTCATGGGCCCATCCTTTTACGACTTCACACTCTCCGTCCTCGGAAAGTCACCGAAGCATGTCATGGGCTTATCCATTTATGACTTCACACTGTCTGTCCTCGGAAAGTCACCGAAGCATGTCATGGGCTCATCCATTTATGACTTCACACTGTCCGTCCTCGGAAAGTCACCGAAGCATGTCATGGGCTCATCCATTTACGACTTCACACTCTCCGTCCTTGGAAAGTCACCGAGCGTGCACCATAACGAAACCTTGCGGCCCACCACCGACCTGCCTGAGTGTGGGGCTCCTACACAGCCACTCCTTTGCTGCCCAGCCTCCTGCCACTTCCAGCGCACCGTGGCCTTCAAGGGCACTTAGCCATCGACTTCTGTCTTGCGTCCACCTGAGAGAGAAGACGGTGGCCACTGGACAGATGCTTGGACAGGCACCTGAGGCTCTGTTAGCTTTGGCTGTGGGTCCAGCTCCTTAGAGCAGAGGCAGAGGCTCAGGGTCTGGGTCACTCTCTTTGAGATTGCCTGGAACGCTTACACACGTCTTTCCCTGAGTGGAATCGGCTTTGTCTGAAAATTCCAGAGGGCAGGATTCTGGGTTTTTTTAGACATGGAAGTTTTATTGAGTTACATTGTTTGTGTATTGACTGATGTAAAGAAATGGTTTATGATGATTCCAAGACAAAATTAAGCGCTGTGGATCAAGGCGTCTAAACAGACGTTGAGTGGAGCTGGCTCTCTCCCTCCTGCACTGGGCGGCTGTTGGGTGAGAGCGTGTCTTTTTTCTGTGTCTAAACATAGTGTTGTGTGTGTGAGCATTTTCATAGAGTATAATTCTATATGCAAGGCCCTGTGTTTTACATTCTGTCCATTTTAATGTGTTATAAGCATCTTTTGGTATCAGTATGTGTGTAACTGTAACTTGCTCTTTTTGATCCCTTGCGAATGGATATTTATGTGGTTGTAGCAGTGTTTATACCAATCCCAAATTGGCATCAAACAATTATTATACATATATTTTGTAAACTTCTAAGTATCACTACTAGACAAGTTCCAGGAAGTGGAAGCTGGGTCAGCGGGCCCATGCACTTAAAAACAGCATTAGGTTTACTGTCGGATTGCTCCAGAAGCCTCGTTCCAGCTGATCTTCCTAATTCCAGTGTCAGAGGATGCATGTTTTTCATTTGTGCTGTACCAGCACCAGGCAGGTTCAGTCTCTTTCATTTTTGTCCGTGTGCTAGGGGAAAATTATTGTTTGAGTTTTCTTGATTATTTTAAGGGGGTGCATATTTTTGTATGGCTTGGTGTACACATTATCATAATTTGTACATGCTCTGCAGGCATTTGAAGAGAAAGCATGCTTTTATGATTTTGTTTTAGCCTAAAGACATCTATATGTATATATCAATGTTGTATTTAAAGTTCTTGGCTGGGCGCGGTGGCCCACACCTGTAATCCCAGCACTTTGGGAGGTCAAGGTGGGCGGATCACGAGGTCAAGAGATCGAGACCATCCTGGCTAACATGGTGAAACCCCGTCTCTACTAAAAATACAAAAATTAGCTGGGTATGGTGGTGTGTGCCTGTAGTCCCAGCTACCCAGGAGGCTGAGGCGGGAGAATTGCTTGAACCCAGGAGGCAGAGGTTGCAGCGAGCCAAGATGGCGCCACTGTACTCCAGCCTGGAGACAGAGCGAGACTCCGTCTCAAAAAAAAAAAAAAAATTCTCTCATTTATATATATTTTACTTATATGTAGGAGAATATGTATGCTTTATATGTTATTTTATTTCTATATTAACTCGTTATTTAAATCAGTATAGCTTTACTTATTTTTTTCTGTCTGTTCGATTTCTTGGAAAAGTGTGTTTTTCTACTGTGATTATAGTTTTGTAATGTTCTTTTTACATTAATAACCTTTTTTTTGCTTTATATAGTTCAATGTTTTCTTCAATGCTTAAAAATTAATGACTGTTCTTTTGGTATATCAGCTCTCTTATCAAAATACAATATATTTCTCTTGGTTTAATGTTTCTTTGACCAAGAGCTTACAGTGTTTCATGAGGTATTTCTACCCTTGGTTTCTTTTGGCTAACAAATATTTCTCCATCCACTTGTCTCTAACCTTTTCAGGCTGTGTTCTTTGAGGCTCAGCTCTGGAAACCGCAGGGTGCTGGGTTTGGCCTTTTCTGTGGGAATTTCAGTCGCTGCAGTTCAGTTTGATCACCGGCCTGCCCGGGCCTGTCCTGCCCCTGTGAGTTGGGTTGTGTGCGCCTCGTTGCCACCCACGACCTCTCCATTCTCTGTCTCAGTGGGTCAGAGGCTGAAGACAGGCCGCGCTGGCGAGGGCAGTGCCCCTCCGCCCAGCCCATTCTCTGCTCTCCGTCTGTGGGGAGGGTGCAGCTGGGGTGGTTTGCCTGGGGCCTGAAGTCCGCTGGCTGCCTCCTCTGCCCTGTCCACTATCATCTTTCCCTGACGTGTCTGCCCTTCCTCCCAGAGGACCCTGGGCGGCAGGACCCCCTGTGCCAAAACACGCGCGTGCCACCACACACACACACCGGCTGGTGGCCCAGCGGCCTGTGTCCACGTCTCGGGCTGGGGATGGGGCTTGCCCGGATCTGTGTCCCCCCTACCATGCGAGGCCCACTTGCTGATGTGGCTTCCCCGGCAGCTCCATCCCCAGAGAACTCTAGTTTCGGGAAGTTCCTCTGCGTTTCTTGTCAGCTGATGCACCTGTTCGTCCACTGCCAGGCATTGCTGGAAGTGCTTTCCAATCTTGTCTTTCATCATTTTAGTGGGTTTTGGGAAGAAGAGAAATCATTAATACTGAAGGATTCAGTCTGCCGTCTTGAGCGGGAAATTTCTAGGTGTGTCAGAGCACAGCCACGGAACCACTGTTCCTTTTCCTTGAGTCAAGGAGCCGGGTCCTGGGCTGCCTTGCCATCACCGGGCAACGCGGTGCTCGGGGCCTGCCTGGCCGTACCTCCCCTCCCTCTATGCGTCTCTTGTGCCGTCCTCTGCTGGCTGGCCCTGTCCTTTGCCCTGCCTACCCGGCTCACTCTTGCCTGCCTGGCTCACCCTTGCCCACCCACCTGGCGTGGGGCTCTGCTCCTGTGTGGCCTGGTGTGGGTGACCATGCTGCCCCTCACTCCCTGGGCAGGCCGGGCTGGGGGAGTCCAGCTGCCCGTGGGCCCCCTCTCACATTTGGAGTGTGACTTGGCTTTGCCCTGAGGATGAAGTGCCCTTCTAGTGCGGTGTGCATGGCTTTCCTCTCCCTGTGTTCTGTGAAAGTCGTCTGCTGCTGGGTGAGTTTTGTGTTATGGTTTTATTGCTGTTCCCACTGAACTTTGCCAGAGCCAGGCCCTGGTTCTCTGACGTCAAAGCTGCTTAACTGTTGGGATTTTATTGCTCTAAATAACGATTTCTAATGATGTGAGCGGCCTGAGGGAAGAACCTGGATTGACTTAGCCTAGAAGAGCTCTCCTTTGAAAGGAGGCCCTGGAGCCTTACGCCCCTTGCCCGGCCAGCCCTCCCTGTGGGGATGCGCCATGCAGGGCACAGAGCCTCTGCCCTGAAGCCGAGTCCCCGGCATGAAACCAGGAGCGTGGACGGGAAACCTACAGGGGCCTGCTGGCAGGACAAGCCAAGGCTCCTTTTTCCTCCCATTCGCTTGTTTTCCTCCAAGGACAGTTCCCCAAGTAACTGTCCTTGTCTTTCCTTGTGGTTAAGGGCTTAGGATACTGGCGATTTGACTGGCCAGCAGCAAAGGCAGACGTTGTTACTTGGCCACCCACTTAACACTACCCTGTCCCTCCAGTGTCATTTACTTTCCCTTCTGGAACGTTTGTGCCCAGAGAAAGTCTTGCCCAGAAATGTTCTCAGTGTCAAGGAGCCCCGCAGCGGATTTGCCGGGACGTGTTTGTGTCACCTGGATGATGCTCTCGATAGGAAGCTGGTTGAGCAGGCAGTGGCGGGTAATTTGAGTATCCTCTCGCTCCTGGAATCTTGGTGCGAGGTACGGATAATGTTACGTTCAAGACAAAATAAGTGGCCAGGCACGGTGGCTCAAACCTGTAATCCTGGTACTTTGGGAGGCCGAGGTGGGCAGATCATTTGAGGTCAGCAGTTCACGACCAGCCTGGTTAACATGGTGAAATCCTGTCTCTGCTAAAAATGCAACAATTAGCCAGGCGTGGTGGTGCGCACCTGTCGTCCCAGCTACTTGGGAGGCCGAGGCAGGAGAATCGCTGGAATCTGGGAGGTAAGGTTGCAGGGAGGCAAGGTTGCAGGGAGCCGAGATGGTGCCACTGCACTGTAGCCTGGCTGACAGAGCAAGACTCTGTCTCAAAAAAAGTAAAAAATAAAAAATATTAAAAAAAAGGATGTTGTGGGAAACTTGTGTAATTTAAGATCAGTGTTTTAATTTGGGCCATTCTATGACTTCTTAATATTCTGTTCAGTCTGAACTACCCCATCCACACAAAAGCAGCTAAAAAGTCTCTGTCAACAATAACTTGGTGATTAGTGAGTTCCTGGTAATCCAATTGCTTCAAACCACTGTTAAGTGTTAATCCTGTGAGTCCCAGGGAGAAGGCTCTTGCTCTGGGGGTGCTTCCAGTCCTCATGTCCTGCTCTAACTTTATGTGATCTTGAATCTGTTTATTTTAACCATTGTGGCTGCCAAGATTATTATATTTTAATATAATAATTTTAATATATAAAAAATAATATCAATTTTAATATAGAAATGATCTCATAAAGATGCATTTTTATGGCATTCAATGCTCTGCAGTGGTGGAATGTTTCAGGAATACCGCAAAGTGTGTGTGTGTGTGTGTGTGTGTGTGTTAGGGTGTTTTTGTGTTTTAGACACAATGTGTATATGTTAGGGTGTGTGTGTGTTTTGGACAGGTTATGTGTGTGTGTTTTAGACAGGGTGTCTATGAGATAGGATGTGTGTGTGTTTGGGTGTGTGTGTTTTAGATAGGGTGTGTGTTTTAGGGTGTGTGTGAGACAGAGTGTGTTAGGGTGTGTGTGTGTGTTTTAGACAGGGTGTGTGTGTTTTAGGGTGTGTGTGTTTTACACACTGTGTGTGTATGTGTTAGGATATGTGTGTGTTTTAGGGTATGTCTGGTGGTTTTAGACAGGCCGTTTGTGTGTGTGTTAGGGCGTGTGTTTAGACGGTGTGTGTGTCAGGGTCTGTGTGTGTTTTAGAGTGTGTGTGTGAGGGTATGTGTGTTAGGGTGTGTGTGTTTTAGACGGGTGTGTGTGTGCATGCGTGTGTGTTTTAGGGTGTGTGTGTGTGTTTCAGACTGTGTGTTAAGGTTTGGGTATTTAGACAGGATATGTGTGTGTTAAGGTGTGTGTGTGTGTGTGTTTTAGACGGGTGTGTGTGTTATGGTCTGTGTGTGTGTGTTAGGGTGTGTTTGTGTGTTTTAGGGTGTGGTGTGTGTGTTAGGGTGTGTGTGTGTTTTAGACTGTATGTTAAAGTATGGGTGTGTGTTTTAGACAGGATGTGTGTGTTAAGGTGTGTGTGTATGTGTGTTTTAGACTGTGTGTTTTAGGCAGGGTGTGTATGTGTGTGTTTGGTGAGTGCATGAGACGGGTGTGTGTTTGAGGCGGTGTGTACGTGTGTGTGTTAGGGTGTGTGTGTGTGAGGGTGAGTGCATGTGTGTGAGACGGAGGTGTGTGTGTTTTAGACAGGGAGTGTGTGTGTTTTTTAGACAGGGTTGAGAGTGTTGTGTTTTGCACAGGGTGTGCGTTGGATGTGTGTGTGTGTGTTGGGGTCTTGCTGTCACCCAGGCTGGAGTGTGGTGGTGATGTGTGTGTGTGTGTTAGGGTCTTGCTGTCGCCCAGGCTGGAGTGTGGTGGTGATGTGTGTGTGTGTGTGTTGGGGTCTTACTGTCGCCCAGGCTGGAATGTGGTGGTGATGTGTGTGTTAGGGTCTTGCTGTCACCCAGGCTGGAGTGTGGTGATGTGTGTGTGTGTGTGTTAGGGTCTTGCTGTCGCCCAGGCTGGAGTGTGGTGGTATGCAGTGCAGCCTCAGCTTCCTGGGCTTCAGCGATCCTGCTACCTCAGGCTCCCTAGTAGCTGGGATCACAGGTGCCTGCCACCACTCCCAGCTAACTTTTACAATTTTTTGTAGAGACTGGGTCTCACCATGTTGTCCAGGCTCGTCCCCAACTCCTGGACTCAAGCAATCCTGCCCCCCTCGGCCTCCCAAAGTGCTGGATTACAGGTATGAGCCATTGTACCCGGCTAGCAATACTACAAAGTTTTAAGAGGCAGAAAAGGAATTTTGAAGACCTGCAGTTAACCCAAGACATTGATTCTGAACTTCTGGTCGCAGGTGGGTTGCAGATTCTGAGCATGGCCCTTGCTCAGAAACACGGTGGCGGGAGGTAATGAGAAAGCCTGGGAGCTGAGAGTGGCTTTGCGGGAGGCCCAAGAGGG